GAGGGGTGCCTGGCATGGGCCGGGGCGGGGGAAAGGCGAGGCAGGCCCGGGAGATGCTCCATGCCTGCTGCTGACAAACTGGTACGACGCTTTGCTGCTTGCTCATTGGTGCAGCCCTGGCACCAGGGCCCCCTCTGCCCTTAACCTGGGGCCTTTGAGGGCCTGCCGGCACCACAGCTTCCTGCTCAGCTACAAAAGGCAGCCTCCTCACCTCCTTTGCCCAAGCAAGGACACCTTGCGCGCTGGCCAGCCCTTGCAGGCTGGCTGGCAGCACCCAGGTGCATGGAAGTTGGACTGGCCTGTCCTGCTGCAGCCACCCAGCAGTGTGCTGGATGCTCCACCCACGGCTGCAGGAGCGCTGGGCGAGCTGCTCATCACCACAGCCCTACCCGCATCGCCAGCCGGCGTGCTTTGGGCCAAACCAGACAGTGCTCCTAAGTGGGGAAGGCCACGAGCTGCTGGGCTGCCTCCCCAAAGCGCCACACCTGGGCTGGCCAGCACACATCCCACGCAGGTCCATCCTGCAGTGTGACTGGGCAGCGTCCCACTGATGGGGGAAGGCAGAGTGCAGCTGCTTTCGCCCCGCGGGCAGCCCAAGGGCCGAAGGAGCAGAGAGCCCCCATGTGCCTCAGCCCTACAACGCTGGCCCACCGTGGAGCTCTGGCCCCCACCACCAGAGATACCCTCCCCTCCTGCTGCAGCCGCCGGCTCAAGAACGGCCCTCGCCTCCCTTCTTTGCCCTGGCTTCACCGCTGGCAGCATCCGAGGGCTCCGCAAGGCCATGTGTACCTGCGCCTCCCTCCTGAGAAGGGGGCAACGAGTGCCCAGAAGCCACCAGGCAAGGGTCAGCTGCTTCGAGCAAGTAGTGGGCTCAGCGCCTGGCCACATGCACCTGCAGCAAGCACCCCATGGAGCTTGACACCTTCATCCCCTGGGGGCCAGTGTCAATAAACCTCTTTGCAAGATTCAGTGGGAGAGGAGAGTGATTCTTGTTCCCCAAAGTCACCAAGCCAGTGCCTTGCAGCTGTTGGCATAGGTGGAGATGGGTGCAGCAGGACAGAAGTGCCTCTGCTTGTGCCTCTCCTTTGCCCACAGAAACTCTCGCCTTGCCCAGCCAGCCCGGCTGGCACCGCAGGCATTGACCAAGAGGAACTTCTGCTCTTGGACAGAGCCACTGGATGCCCAGCAGGAGGGCAAAGGCTTGGGGGGAGAGGGGAGGAGCCTCCCGCAGCCCTGGGCACAGCTGAGACAAGGAGGTCCGACTGTGCTGGCCGCAAAACAAGGAGCCTGGGGTACGCAGCGGGCAGCGAGGCAGCAAGGCAGACGGCAGGAGTGTGAGATGGACAGAGCAGGGCAAAAGAGCTCCTCGTGCAAAGCCCAGTGGATCCTCGTGCAAAGCCGCCTGGTGCATGTGCTATCTCCAGCAGTGTGAGAGCTCAGTGCAGAGCTGTGCAGGGCGGCTTTCCACCACCCACGGCCCCCACGCTGCTGCACTGCCACCACCACAGCCAGCCTCTCCACCCAGTGCAGCCCGGGGCCAGAGAGCTCCCTTGCAGGCTCGGCTTGGCTCCCGGTGCCGGGCTGTGCTGCTGAGAGGGCTTTGGCAGTGCCTGGCGAGGTGCTGCTCCAGGAGGAGCGAGACAGGGGAGCTGAAGAGCTGCCCACGGCAAGAGGAGCCAGCTTTGGAAAGCCGAGGGCTGGGCACATGGGGGCACCTTTTGGAGCAGTGCAGCAGCGGCTGCCGCTCCCTCCCCAGCCCGAGGGACAAGTGTGCTTCCGGTGCTGGGTGCTGGGCGTGCAGGAAGCAGCTGTAATACAACTGCGTTGGGGAGTTTCTGGAAGAGGGGGCTGACGGTCGGTGCCGACACTCGACCTGAAGCAAGCTGCTGTGAGCTGCTCCCGCTCATGCCCCCCACAATGTCACTCCTGGCCACGGTCACTGCTGTGCACAACCGAGGAGCAGCAGGGTCCAGGGCATCTCCCAGCGGGCCTGCCCTTGCTCGTGCCTGCTGATGGCACCTGCTCTGTGGCAAGATAGGCTCTGGCCTTCAGAGGCAGCAGCTGGCACCGGCTGCTGCTTGGCCTCCCACTCACACTTGCTTCAGCTGGCCTCCAGCTGAGCGCACGTGGCTGCCTGCTTCTCCTTCAGTGCAGTTGCACGTGGTCTGGGCTCTGGCAGCTGGGCTGGGGGCTCGCAGCAGGAGGTCTGCCAGAGGGCCACCTTGCTGCCCTCCACCCCCTGAACCAGGGCATGGCCTGCCTCTGCGTGGAGCCTCCCGGGAAGGTGGGTGAGCTGGGCAGCATAAGGATGGCCCCAACGCCCACGTCCTCCTCCTCCCTGAGCCAGCAGACCCCTGCACTGCGAGGGAGCCTGATGTCTCGGCCGGAGCTGGCAGCCCTGCTGCAGCGTGCCCCAGAGCTGCCTCCTGCCCCAGAGGCATGCAGGGTGCTCCCGCCCTCGCCAGCTGCCCGGCATGGGGTGCACCTCTGGGTCCATTTTCGGGCTCCTAGAGTTCAAATATGAATTGTTTAATGTGTTTGAGTCTACCTGAAGGCCTATAACAAGGGGAGCTCCTCATAGCTCTGTTTTGGGAGCTGTGTTTCTATCTTTATCAGTGATCTGGAGGAGGAGGTAGAATAAACGCTTATTAATTTTATCAATTATGCTAATGTGTGTGGTGCAGTCCGTGTTCTTTTCAGTAGGGCTGCCACCCACAATGCTGAGGCTTTTGACCTCCCCAGTGATTTCTAACAAACAGCACCAAAGACTTCCTCCTCGTTCTTTTTGCTTTTCTGGCAAGTCTCTACAGTGTTGCAGGTTCCATACAGGCCCTTTCACAACACCGTTATGTTTTATTTCTGTCTTATGTACATATGTCCCCTTCCTGTGTTCAATATTTTTCCTTTGGTGAAGTAACAAATATCCTTGTGTCAGATTAAGCAGAATAGTAATATCAATAACCCGTATTGATCAGTAATCAATAATTTGACTGCTGTGATTTCTTTTCTTGACCACATGTTCATCAAGGAAAAATAATCTTTTACATAAGAATTTACTGATATCCTCCATGATGCATCCAAGCATCAGTACATGGTCAATATGACTTACATACAATAAAATATTAATAGAATATATCATATGAAAAGAATTCTTACATATATTGTAAAAATTCACACCGATACTGAAGATTTAGTGCACAGTGGAAACAACTCATGTAGCTGGGAGTCGCACTTGAAGTGCTGGTATTTACTGCTGCATGGTCAGAAAATTTTTGTAGAGCCAGCTAATCACAGATGCAGAGTTCCTAGAGCCTGTCTTTTTTTTTTTCTTGCTGCCTGATAAACTGTGCTAGAAGTCCACACAGCACAGACAGGATCAATACAGACAAATTATTATGTAGCCCCATGCATGCCAATTAGTACACCAGGAATCAGAATCTACTGCTTTCTCACTCAGGTGACTTTGGTCATAATGTTTGGTTTCCAGTACCAGGCCCTGCTCCAATATTATGCCAGTATAAGCCCGGCTGGTCTAAATCTATTTGTCTTTGCTGCTTAATAAACACAGAGAGTGCCAAAGATGGTGTTCATGGCAGATCCAAGTGTCTTGTGTTTCAGGTGTCTCATAGCAATCTAGACCTAATTTCTACCAAGGAAATGCTTTGTAATAGTTAATGTAATAGATTATGTTTGCTTGATAAACCAGTATTAAAAAAAAAGCTGTCATACAACTGAAGTATGACTTTCTGTTTGCAGTGGCCATGTGGACCAGCAAAGTAGAAATTCTGAAACTATATAAATTGTCTTTCAGAAAATTATAGTGAATTAACATGAAAAGAATTTTTAGAATCACTAGTCAGCCTACCTCATTTAGTTCTGTTCTGACTGAGGTTAATGGTAAAATTTCCCTTTTAAAATATTAAATGTATACTTTTGCTTTTCAATATACTAGGGGTCTTGTTTCACCACACTGACGTTGTCAAAGCTAGAAACGCTGGTAAGGAAGTAGGGACAGAAGGTGGTTGTCAAGTTGAGACGGATTTTGATATCAATAGTATATAATACACCTGATTCATATGCAGGTATAAGAGCAAGGAAAGGGACTGTTCATGCAAGAAATAGAAATCAATTATAAATGGAAAAAACTCAGTCCAGGACAGAACTGCAATATGAAGTAGTGCTCTGACTCTTCCATTTGTTTCAGTCTCTAAAAAAATCTCATAATGCTGAGTAGGGTAACTCTTGGAAGCTGATTTCCTGCTTCTAAGGGCTTTTCTTTTTTGAATTATATATCCTCACATCCCAGAGCTCTGCAGCAGGGAAGCAGTAGAAAAACAGGCCAGAGTGTGAAGAAGGAATATGTTTGATGCATAAAAAAAAACATAATTAAAACTACAAATTCAAACAGGAATGCAAAATGCCAGCTTTAAGTTTATGTATTGTCCTTCATTGCCTTGTGATAATGCTTTACTTCCTTAGCTATATGCGCACCTATTATCTTCTTTTCCACAGAAACCTACAAACCTACACAGCTCGTTTTGTGAACAACATAGTTATACTTTTGCACATTTTCTTGCCTTACTGTTTAATATGTGACTCCATGCCATACTTAACTGCACACCATTTAAATTCAGCACTAAATCAGAATGATTCTTTCTTTTTCTTTTTCTTTTTCTTTTTCTTTTTCTTTTTCTTTTTCTTTTTCTTTTTCTTTTTCTTTTTCTTTTTCTTTTTCTTTTTCTTTTTCTTTTTCTTTTTCTTTTCTTTTCTTTTTTTTTTTTTTTTGGGGGGGGGGGTGTGTAAGAGCAATTCTATTTTGTTACTCTGCCTGTATTACTACTAGGAATAAAGGACCTATATTTCATGGCTTTTTTTGGGGGGGGGGGTAGATTTCATGCAAAGAGCTTCATCTCAGGACTCAGACTTGGAGCAATCTATCTCATACTGTGTGCGGAAAATGCTGCCCAGAGCTCAGGCATTGTATGGGAGAATGTTAGCTGACACAGGTCAAAAACTCACATAAATGATTGTGAGAGAAGGATGAAAACCAGGTCCTGGCCTTATTTACTAAATGCAGCCTGTATACAAAGATGCATTGTCTCTTTATGCTGCACAGTGGAGTCCACAGCAGTCCTGAGCTGCAATAGCTTGTTCAGTTTCCTACAGGCTTGAGTTGGTTCTTGTTCTGTTGCAGATAATATCACCTGAATTTTTAGCTCAGTTAAGGCTCTTTTGTAACCTACTTGTGAGTTTGGGAAAAGCTTATGACTTGGCTAAATTTGGGCACATTTCCAAAAAATCCTGTTAAAATATGTGTCCTGCTATCACTTTCATGTCTCCGTGCAAATCATTGCGAGTTCCAAGGAAGTTTTGTCAGTATTTTTTAATTTGTTCAAAAAAAGGAACAACTTTCACTTTAGTTTCCTGCTTGAAAAAGAAAACATTTTGAGGTGAATATTTTGACACAAGAGCATTTAGACTCAAGGTAAAGCCTACAGTGGCAATGTTTAGTTCGTAATGGGAAAAAAATAATTAGAAAATATGAACTTGGGGAATCTTAGTAATGGGTGGTGATATCAGACCTGCTGACTGTTTGATTTCTTGATTTCATCTGAAATAAGCCCATTATCATGTTAACACAGGACCAGAGAATATAGAAATATTGCCTGGACCAGAGGTCTCATGGCCATCTAGGCCAGTCTCCTGCTTCTGCTCAAAGCAAAGCTACTGCTGAAGGAAGAAAGGTCTGCCAGGGCTTTGTTAGTCAAGTTTCAAAGATCTCAGAGGACTGAGTTTCCATAACCTCTCTGGGATACCCACTCAAATGAGGAACTACTCTGCTAAGGAAAATATTTTTCTTAGGTCCAACACAAATTTCCCAAATTTCAACTTGCACTCATTGCCCCCTGTAACTTAATGTGTTGTGGTTTGCTAGTACATCACCTCTTTATCCTGCTTTGGTCTAACTAAATTTCAATTTCCCCATTCTCTCCTTGCCGGTCATATTGAGCTCTAGAGCCCTCCCCATCTTGGGAGCCCTCCACTGGATCCTCTCTAGCTTCTCCACATCCACGTGTGCAGAAGGAATTAGATCTGTGTACAGCTGCAGGGCTGTGATCTCATTGTGATCACAGAGGTGCGGTGGGATAGCTTGCATGACTGGAAAGCTGCAAAGGGTAGATACATGCTCTTTAGGAAAGACAGATCAGGAAGGTGAGGAAGGGGAGTCACGCTTTATGTCAGAGAGCAGCTGGAATGCATTGAGCTCTGCCTCAGGGTGGATAATGCTGACTGAGAGCTTATGGGTAAGGATTAAGGGGCAGACCACTATGGGTGACAGTGTTGTGGATGCTTGCTGTAGGCCACCTGAGTGGGAAGAAATAGATGAGGCCTCCTACAGATAACTGCAAGTAGCCTCACATTTGCAGCCCCTGTCCTCATGGGGGACTTTAACCATGACGATATGTGCTGGAGTGACAACACAGCATGGTATAAGCAGGACAAGAGGCTCCTGGAGACCATCGAAGACAACTTCCTGAGACAGGTGATGGAGGAGCCAATGAGGTGAGACACTCTGCTGGACCTTGTACTAACAAACAAGGAAGGGTTAGTTGGGGACATGAAGGCTTGCAGTCATCACAAGATGGTGGAGCTTAGGATCCTACGAGGAGGGAGTAGGGCAATAAGTAGGATCACAAGCCTGGACTTCAGGAGAGCAAACTTTGGCCTTTTCAGGGACCTTCTTGGAAGACTGTCATTGGATCAGGCCCTAGAAGGAAGAGGGGTGCAAGAGAGCTGGTTAATATTCAAAGATCATTTCCTCCAGGCTCAAGAACAGTGCATCCCAATGAGCAGAAAGTCGAGTAAAGAGGGTACGAGATGTGCACGGATGAACAAGGAACTCCTGGCAAAACTCAGACAGAAGAAGGAAGTTTACAGAAGGTGGAAGCAGGGACAGGAAACCTGGGAGGCATATATACTGATACTTTATTGCTAAGGCCAGCTCTCAGGAATCCCAGTCCCTGGAAACCAGGGAGAAAATCTGGAGAAAGGAAGACTTTCCCTTGGTGGAGGATAATTAAGTTTGGGATCACCTAAACAAACTGGACATCCACAAGTCCATGGGCCCTGATGAGATACACTCACGACTGCTTAGGAAGCTGGAGGATGTCATTGAAAGGCCACTCTCCATCATCTTTGAAAGGTAATGGAGATCAAGAGAGGTGCCTGAAGACTAGAAGAAAGCCAGCATTACTCCAGTTTTCCACAGAATCACAGAATCACAGAATCGTTTAATCGTTCTTGGAAGGGACCTCTGGAGATCATCTAGTCCAACCTCCCTGCTCAAGCAGGGTCACCTAGACCATATTGCCCAGGATCACATCCAGACGGGTTTTGAGTATCTCCAGCGAAGGACACTCCACTACCTCTCTGGGCAACCTGTTCCAATGCTCCAACACCCTCACAGTGAAGAAGTTTTTTCTCAGGTTCAGGTGGAACTTCCTGTGGTTCAGTTTCTGCCCGTTGCCTCTTGTCCTGTTGCGGGACACCACGGAGAAGAGGCTGGCCTCATCCTCTTGACACTCCCCCTTCAGATACTTGTACACATTGATGAGATCGCCTCTCAGTCTTCTCTTCTCCAGGCTCAACAGGCCCAGCTCTTGTAGTCTTTCTTCATAGGAGAGGTGCTCCAGTCCCCTCATCATCTTTAGAGCCCTCCGCTGGACTCTCTGCAGTAGTGCCATGTCTCTCTTGTCCTGGGGAGCCCAGAACTGGACACAGTACTCCAGGGGAGGCCTCCCCAGGGCTGAGGAGAGGGGCAGGATCACCTCCCTCCACCTG